TGTGTGTGTGTGTGGCCAGCTCAGCCCACCAGGGGGCGGGGCTGGCTGGCATGTGGTGCTGGGGGATTGAACCGTGGTCCCTGGGTTTTGCTAAGCTTGTTCCAAATAGGTGCCTTAGACCACTGAGCCATCTCACCAGCCCAAGGAATTGTTACCTGAGAGGAATTATACAAAGAAATGTTTTTGAGAAAACATTTGAAGACCTGATGGAGCTTAAAGGGATTGACCTGAGGATGTTTTCAGTATTACTACTTTATTTTTTATATGTTTTATAATAAAGTAACTTGTTAGATTCTATTTATGCTTCTTAAATTATATGGTGACTTTTAAAAAATAATTCATAGATTTAAATTTATATTTAAATTATTGTGTTCGTGTTTGTTTTCTTTTTTGGTACCAGGGGTCGAACTCAGGACCTTATGCTTGCCAGGCAGGTGGGTGCTTAAGCCACTGAGCTATCTCCTCAGCCCTATTTTAAATTATTACACATAATAACGTTATTTTGGTTTGTAATTCATAATAGAGAACAATAGAAAGGACCAGATTTTTGTTTCAAGTAGAAAACCAGCTTTAATCTGAAGTCTGTGTTTTTTTCCCTCCTCTCTGTGCCATGCAGTGTTTTGTACGAAGGGAAAGAAAGGCTTATTCCCGGCTGTGAAGTAATCCAAGCTACCCCCTACGGTCGCTGTGCCAATGTCAACAATAGTTCAGCTACTTCGCAGAGAATCTTCATCACATACCGAAGGGCTGCTCCAGTTCGACCCCAGAATGCCTTGGCTGTAACAGATATCTGTGTCATTGTGACCAGCAAAGGAGAAACCCCTCCTCATACCTTTTGTAAAGTTGACAAAAATTTAAATTGTGGGATGGTAAGCATGAAACCCAGTCTTCCCTTCCCCCTTCCCCTCCCTCCTCCCCTCCCCTCCCTTTTCCCCTCCCCTCCCTTCCCCTCCCCTCCTCATTTTATGTATTTGGTACAGGGTCTCATTACGTAGCTTGGGCTCATAGTGATCTTCCTGTTTGCAGACTCCCTAGCACTAAGATTACAAGTGTGAGCCACCACGCCTGGACTTGGTCATGGGCAGCATGCCTCGCGGGTGGGGCCAGCATGGTATGCTGGACCGGACTTCAAACCCTGGTCCCTCCACTTGCCAAAGCAGGTGCTTAGTCCGTTGAGCTATCTTACTGGCCCTCTTGAAGTTGTTTTACTTTCAAAGTTTCATTGGAAAACAAAAGGGATCCTGTTAATTATTAGATGTGTATTTTTGTTAATTCTGTGCATGTTTGTAATACATAGTAAATGCATTCTGGAGAATTGACACATAAACATAATTCATCTAATCCTAGGCATATAGTTTCTTTTTTTCTTTTTTCTTTTTTTTTTTTTTTTTGGTGGGACTGGGGATTGAACTCAGGCCCTTGTGCTTGCCAGGGAAGCACTTATTCCACTGAGCCATCTCCCCGGCCCCTATAGTTTCTTGTCATATTTTTATTTTTTATTTTAATTTTATTGAGAAACAAATATGAATGAGACAGTTTCAAAGCTGATTAATAGGACAGTTTCGATAATCAATACATTGTACATTGTTATCTTTTTAGTGGTTATCCATACTACAGGAAGCAGACAGGATATCCTGTCCAAATACTGTTAGTACATCTCTTTCTTCTCATTGAATTAAGCCAAAGTAGCTGTATCTCTATCTTGTTTTGTATATATAA